GGGTAAGTTAGGAACAGTTACATGTTTTAACAGTAATAAATTTCTCAAAGTTATGTTAATACAATTTAATGAAAATTTTCATTAAAGTTATCTATAAACTTTGAATTAAAATGTTTTGCACTCCTGCTTCTACGAGCCTCTTTTTTCTAATGCTTTAAAAATGAAGTATAGTATAGCCATAAGTTCGGTTATAAATTAAAATGCATATCTTTAAAGAAACTGTGTAATAATAATATAACTCATGTTTATTTCATGGCTAATCGCCGAAGTACGATTACACAGTTGTAGCTGGCTACAACTAGATGCAGCCGATTGCGGTTGGTTAAACTTGGCTGTTTATTCTATTTAGATATATGGATAATGTCCGCACTTTTTGTACATATCGAATTAGTAGCGATGAATTAAAATAATCTTATTTAAAATGGCAGCCTTAAGCTTTGTATTTGTATTTTAATATTATTAATCCGACTTTAAAAAAGGAGGTTTACAATTCGAGTGTTTTTTTTTCATTATATTTTTTGTTTCTATGTTACGATGATATCTTCGATAATTTACATTCTTTTTTAATTGTATAAATTTTACTTCAGGGGTATATAGTAATATAGGGGTAAATATGGAGATAAAAATTCCACCTCAAGGGTGGTAAAATAGGGGTGAAGTTTTTTATGTAGCTATTTAGATTGTTATAAAGATCGTGATATTGCTTAGTCTACTCAAAAGGATAAAAAATAACTTAACATAAAATAGAAGTCGAGATTTCAAAGGGCTAAAGAAAGTTAAATAATAATTTCACATTATGAACTCAGGGCTTTCGTTCTTCTATATCTATACCCTGTGGGCCTTAGTCATATAAAAATAGAAATGCCTAAAGTTGCTCTCTTTTTATCTCTTTTCATTAAATGGCAATAGAAAAATAAAGGTACAGAGATAATTAATATTTAATTTAAGAAAGCGATACTCATTTACTATAGGTAAGGCCATATGTCTTAGCACCTTAAAACCGACTTCTGAATGTCAAATTATTTAATTCTTTTTAGTTCTTCGAAGTCATCTTTTACTAACACTAAAAGTAATTTGTTTCTTATACTTTCATTTTCTTTACTTTCATCGTCATCATCATCACTACAGCCCTTCACAAGTCTACTACTGAACATAGGCTTCCCCTAAGGAATGCCACAAATCACGGTCTTAAGCCACCTGCATTCATCGATTTCCTGCATGTCTTACCAGATCGTCACTCGATCTAGTAGGAGGGACGCCCTACACTTCGCCTGCCGGTATGAGGCTGACACTCGAGAACCTTTCTTCCCCATTGGTTGTCGGTTCTTCGAGCTATATGGTCGGCCTATTTCTACTTCAGCTTACTATTCCGTTGAGCTACATCGGTCACTCTGGTTTTACTACGGATAACCTCTTTACTAAGTTTAGAAGTATATGAAATTCTGGTAAATATGAAAATAGTGCACATTTTTTGTAATCTTGATAATCTGAAGTCAACTTACGAATGCAGTTATTACATGCGTGGTTTTGCCTTTGTGGTTAGCTAATGTCCTCGTGTGTTTTAGCTATTTAATGAAAATGAAAAAAGACATCACAGATATAAGAAAAAAACTTTCGTTAAACAAAAAATCTTTTCATTTTTCATTTTGCACGTCTTCAAACAATAGGAATATTCTCGTTTGTGATTGGCACATATACATGGCTCGTATCACATTTCGTACGTCGTGACTCACAAGTCAGCCGTACGCACGTGCGACCATTTGTTTACATTATTGTTTTCTGTAATGCCAAAGTAACCTCGAATACTGTGAAAGAAAGATTGGGGCTAAAAGAAAAGCCTCTTGTCTGTAAAAAAAAGTAATGTTACAACCTATAAAGATCTCTCATTTCTAGGAGGGTTATGGTTATAGAGCACTTTGCCCGCCACGCTGTTCCAGTACCTATATGTTTTGCAAGACCGCCGAGTCACCGTCTTTTTTGTGTTATCGCATCCATACCCGAAATACAAATTTTTTTTTAATCACAGGTAGATTTACGTTAATATAAATTTGTAATCTAACTTTTAACCGACGCGACGCTGCGTCGCGTTGACATGTTTCTCCGACCCCTATGGTTGCATATAAACAAATATAAAATTTAAGGACTTCTATAAATTTATTTATTTAAAAGAGTAAACTTAAAGCACAAAACTTTTATTTTTAGAAATTTTAATCTTTAAATTAGTTAAGAAAATGTTTCTTTTTTGTTTTAGTAAAGAGATGCCATGATGAAAAAATAAATGCAAAGAGATTTAAGTAGTAAGTAAAAGACCGGGCATCAGCAACAAAATTGTCATCTGTTACTTTTATCGTATAGGATATGTTTCGAATTTATGTCATTTAGTCTTATGGACATCGTCAAAGATCAAGACGAATTAGTTTTCTAAATTAAAAGGATATTTTTTAAGTCAAATATGCCCGATTGTGCATTAAGGTATTGTAAGTCTTACATGGAGCAAAAACTGAATGTGATTTCGGTTTATTATCGCTAGTATAATGTATATTTACCCAACAATTTTTAAATTTTATTATTTCTGGTAGATTGTTCTAGAACATTTATCATTATTGTAATAAGCTCCCTGTTTTATCCAATAACGTCACTATTTTTTAACCAAATGAGTTAGTGATTGACATTTATCGATTGATGATATCGATAAAAATATTATACGGGATGCCAATTTAATCATATACAATGTTTAGGGGGTGAAACAGTAAATGACACTGCACCCATAACAATAAAGAAAAATAAAATTATTAGTGAATAGCTGAAGTGTTTTCCTAATAAATAATCAGAGTAGTTTTGCTATGTTTAGCTAGCTGAAAATTTTTGTATGCAAGTGTTCTCAAAGTCCGCTCTATAGTACATGTTTTTAAAACTCTGGATGAATGAAAAGGTTTTATATTAATTAACTTTGAAGTATGATTTCACGAAAAATACAATAAACAAGCTGTGTTTATATTGGCAATCTCTATTGATCTGTATAAAATTAAGACTTCCCATAGATATTATTAGTTAAATTTTAGGTTATTATTTAATTTTGAAAAATTATATGTATGTATCCGAAAGTGCTAACCAACATTCCTAGTTGCACATGCCAAACTGGGACGTATCTTTGCAGAGGGCTATATCCATTGGATGACGTAAAGTCTGTGAATGCCAATGACAGCTCCTCAATCCTCTTTAAGTATTTTCAATTATGTGACAAGGAGCCACCCAAAATAATTTTAAAAATAAAAATTATTTAAAAAAAAACAAACCCCGGAGGAAAAAAACCCCGCCCAACAACACCCCTCCTTTCTCCTTGCACCAATATTTCCAAATTTAATTCTACTTAGATTAGATCTTCAATTATTTTTGCGCCTTATAGGCCAGTAAAAATAGACGTTTTTTTGTTGGTCAACTTTGCACTGAATCCGATCCAATTTTTGTTTTTTATAAGGTTTAGGATCACTTACTGAGCATGAAATCACAAAATGCTGACAGATCCAGGTGGCGCTTCAAGCGCCATTTTGAAAAAACGTTTTCAACCGATATCTTGGAAACTATGCACTTTAAGACAAAAGTTATAAAGACCATTAGTGTAGAGAATAAAATTTGGCGTCTTTTGTTTTCAGTATACTTTTTTGTAAAACTTACCGTTTACGATTTATGGCCCATTAAATGAACCGCTTTTTCCATCGCGGCCAATAACTCTTCAAATATTAGATTAATCAATAAAATGCATAAATCCATTTTTAAAGATCAATTTATTCTCTAAAACTTTTGTTTCAAACTTTTTTCTAATGTCCATACTTTTTGAGTTATGGAACGTTTAATGTTGGACTACCGGGCGTAAAGTTGAAAATTTCAGGCTACGCATAGATGCAGCGGGTGATAGTCCAACACTAAACGTCTTATGACTCAAGAAGTATGGATATTAGAAAAAAAAGTTTGAAACAAAAATTGTAGACAATAACCTGATTTTTAAAAATAGATTGATGCATTTTTTTGATTAATCTAATATTTCAAGAGTAAATGGCCGCGAGAAAAAAACCGGTTTATTAAATTGGCCATAAATCGTAAGCGATTAGTTTTACAAAAAAGTTTACTGTAAACAATAGATGCGAAATTTTATTTTCTACAATAATGGTCTATATAACTTTTGCCTTAAAGTGCCTAGTTTCCGAGATATCGGCTGAAAACGTTTTTTCAAGATGGAGCTTGAAGCGCCACCTGGATCTGTCAGTAATTTATGATTTTATGCTCAGTTAGTGATCCTAAACCTTATAAGTAACAAAACTTGGATCGGAAATTTAGTGCAAAGTTAAATTCTATTTTTACTGTACTATTAACGTTTCAACATTTCTAATAGAAGCCATTATAATGCTAAAACACTATTCATAGAAGTGTTTAGGATTTAACTCTATTTTCTATTTATTCGATCAAAGTGGAAGTCAAATCATTTAATTCATTAGCACACAGTCCACCTGATGGTAAGTGGAAGCTGTGGCCCATCTACATTTATCCTCGATTAAGAATCAAAATGCAGATGCGTTATCTTCCTTGAGGACTAAGATGAAATGCCTCTTTTCCAGTAAAAAGGGTCTCGAAAAGGGTAAAATTTAGAATTGTTTAAACTTCATATGGAACTTATTCTACACCTTCTCAGAGAAGAAGAGACAAGAAATTCTGGGATCTTCTTAAAGCCGTGTTTCTAATGTCCATGCTATTGTGACATGTACATTTAGAGGCCTTTCTTCTGCAGTGGACTTTTGAATTAGTTAATAAAAATGTAATATATTGTTATACAGAGAGTCGTTCGTCGTGCGGTGGAAGCAGCGGCTCGGAGGGCTCGGAGGGGCGCGCGTCGTGGCGCGTGACCCTCGACCACGACCTGGTGGAGACCCTGAGCGCGATCTACCCCGAGTGGTTCAAGCCACAACACCGTCGCGAGCGCAGCCGCGCAGCTTCGCCGCTCTCGCTTGCCTCGCCGGCCTCGTCAGCCTCCCCCGCCACCCTCCCCCGACATCTTTAGGCAAGTTCTGTTCATTAGGGATTTAAATATTTATAGAGAATATCTGATGATGCGCACAGTCGCTAAAAATGTTGTGAGGAGTTAATTTAAAAGTCAAGTAATTGTAATTTTTTTATAAGTTATTAAGAATATAAATTTATAAATTATACACAAAACCTTAATATACCTCTAGTTACTGACCTGGTGTGACAGGTTACCAATATAGTAGAGTCGACGTTTACTTTTGAAAAATAAAAGTTACTAGTGAGCCACTCTGAGCCTTGGTAACTTTTTAGCAAGCCTCGTCGTACTTTCACTGGCAAACGCAGCTTCTGCTAGATGAAGTGACTAAATAAGTAACGCATGATTACGGGAACAATGCTGACAGCTAGCAATTACGGCAAATTTTAACAAATTGGTAGTGACGTAAGTACAACAATATATTGCTACCAAGCGGATGATGATGAATCTACTAGACGATATGACGATGGTATGATGGTGTGGTCTGCCTGAGTATATATTGCTGGTAGCAATTGTGTATCCATTGTTTTCTTTCTATTTCTCTTAGTCCCATCTTAGTCTTCAGGGATGATGAATCATCAAGTTGGTTGCAGGTGTCTAAAAACTGCATCATAATTTACCATCAGTAGACTATTAGAATAGATAGCGGTGATAGGATATTTGCGATGAGGTAATATGTTTGTGTAGCTGTTCTGGCGCGGAGGAGATGGCCGGGCGGCAGGCGAACAGCAGCGGCGCCAGCGAGCCGGCGAGCTCGCCGCCGCGCCTCTCGCCCCCTAAAGTGGTCGTCGACGACAGCCCGCTGCAACCGGCCATGGGAAAACACAAAGAATGTAAGTTCTCCCTCCCATTAAACATTCGTGTAATTGCTGTAATAATTGCTTATGTTTACGTAAAATATAAATAATTTAGAGTAAATCATTCTTATATAAGTAACAAAGATATATTTAACGTAACTAACGCACACCCTCAGACATCCCAATTAGTATATCATGTTATAATCATACATACACTGAATTTTAGTTAAACATTTTTATGCACTAATTATTTATCAAATTAGTTATACTAATTCCCGAAGAATGTTGTGGTCACAGTACAAATCCACGAACGCAAGGACTTTAACGTGCTTGAAATAAAGTTCATTTTTCTTTATTTTTATTGGATGACAGAATTAGTAATAATACTAATAAAACTGCACTCTTAAAAGTCTTATTGCCTTAAGTTACGGTCCATCGCAGTTTGGTTTGACTGTACAGATTTAGTGTGACTGTAATTTACGTAGTTTTAATATATATATAAATATATATAAAAAAAAATATATATATATATATATCGATTACGTTCTTAAAATCTTTGCATTATTAACAACACCACTTTTAATACGTTATTTAGTTATATTATGAAAATTAAAACACGCCGTTGAAAAACCCAGACGGTCAGCAATCAGCACATCATTAATCTATTTGGTTTCCTTAAGTTCATATAATAAACAAATTTAGGACAAACGAAGTCGCCAGTAGGTCCGGTTCACCTAAGTTTAATATTCCGTATTTGTAAGCGTAAGGATCTCTTCTTTCGTATAGGTATCTTTATTTTCCTATTTTCAAATTGCGTTTCACTAAATATTTTGTATAGAAGAAAAGGTAACTAACATAAGTAGTTGATGTGGCCCATAAAGACGCCCATACGTCCATCTTTTCGTTGTTCCTCCTGAGGACTGAGATGGAATGCTTGGTTACCAGTCAAATGGATTATATCCCATAAGTGTAATTTTTTATCGCGTTAGTTAAAAACACTTTTTTCTTATAGAAGTTGTTGTCTGCTTCAAAAAGCCATTAACCTTCTCCTTAATCTCATAATATTAATAGCACATTTACTAGCAGCTAGCTAATCCACTTAATAAATCTAGACAGATCTTTGCCAACCTTACTTGTCTCAAAATAAATTACAAATTATTAAGGAACTAATAAATATGTTTTAAAATGTTCGTATTATAAATGTATTTAAATTTTTACGTGAGAGCAGATCAACCACAGAAATAGATTGTTCTCAGATATATGTATAGTAGACACTAATAATTTCCCCTATTATTGTGAGAGATTTTACTTACATAGATTGTACACGGACAGAATCTGGACCTGGAATAATAGTTTGTAGATCATACGAATATATGTACCGTGTGGAATATGAACCTCTGGCCCGCTGCGCTTTAGCCAAGACCGTAACCACTGCGCTGCCAAGTCATAATATAAAATAATCCTGCAATTTGTATATAATTGCATAAAAGAAAAGTTAAAGTTACATTGTGGTATCTAAACTGCTGTGTTATGATGCATAAAATATGTGTTATTATGTTTTTCTGGGGCGTCCATAAATTACGTGAGGTGTTTTTTTTTTAATTTTCTGTCCCTCCCTCCCCCCTGGTGAGATGTCGTGAGATTTTATTCAACCCCTCCCCCATCCCTCCAATCTCACGTGAGATTTTTCAAAATTGAAAATTAAGAACAATTTCCCTTTGTAACTCTTAACAAAAAATTGTTAACATTCGTGCTCGTAAAAAATAAAATAGGCATGCATAAAAATTTGATATGAACCAACTGCAATGTACCTGGAGTAAATATTGGTTCTCTCTAACGTGCTCAGTGTACCATTCTTCGGCTGGCAGGTCTGGAACGCTGGAAGTGTCATTATTCGGGTCTATATATTTAGCGACTACTTCGTGTCCGTCAATGCACACTGCAGACCATATTTTAGCCAAAATATCCCCTGCCTTATTGAAATTATCTTTTTGGCTTGACCATAGGTTTGACTAATTGGTTTAATAATCTGACATTTCAGTAGTGGTTAATCGTATTACTATATACGCTTAAGATTAAATCTTAAGCATGTACAATCTGGATTAAATGGACCAAAATAGTATAATTTTTTTTTTGTTTCAATCAGAAAAAAATTGCGTGATATTCTCTCCAACGTAAGATTAGATGAGATTTGACTCGACCCCCTCCCCCCATAAACATCTCACGTAATTTATGGACGCCCCCTGACTACATTAAACTTAAAAAAATTATGAATAGCTCACATCGAAAGGTTTTAAAAGCCCGCATTTTGTGAAATTGCATAAAGTTATTATCCCTTGGCAATTCGTGACTTTTATTCGCATGGGTATTTAGCGAACAAAAAACGAGGAAAAAATAAGCGAAATAACGATGAATGATGTAGGGAACCATCACTATATTTGGTCACTTCTTTTTTTTATATAATAAGGGTGACAAACAGTACGTAATAAACTCTCATTACCATCCATACCGTTTGGATGATTGGTAGTCCACCACTGTGAGATTTACTCGAAATTTTCTTCCTCGCACAACTTCTTTTTTTCTTTCAGCGATTTAGGCACTTTTAAGACAAGAGCTTATTCTTTTTTAAAAGGCCGGCAATGCATCTGCAATTCTTCTGGTGTTGCAGTTGTTCATGGACGGCGGTAGGCACTTTCCATCAGGTGAGCTCGTCTGCCCCCTCTCGTATAAAAAATCTGATGGTAAGTGGAAATTGAAGTGGAATAATAATGTAGTAAAAAGGGTCTCCGGTTATCTTCACTCACAATACTATACACAATAGCATTAAGCTGCTATTTTACGCTGGTATTATTTGAGAGCTTGGCCTTCACTCACTACAGTACCACAAATCTTAGCGCGTGTATGTAAGTATAATTGTAGGTATGTGTCGGCGCTAACACTTGGAATAGCTCCTCTACACGATGGGCCAGCGCTGGCCCAGCGAGATGGCCATGCGATGGTTGAAACGTAACTACACGAATACACGATGGCGACATTCAGTTGCGCTTGTGATCGAAACCTTTTTTCGAGATGGACGTGGAAGAGTTAGTCGCTGCGCCAATATATCTATACAACACGTATGTGCACAAGAATGGATTTATCAAAAAGAAAAGGCGTAGAAGAAGATGGCGGATGTTATCTATCTATCGCAATAGAACTAAATATGTCCTAAGTCACTTTAGTTTTCTTTAAACAATAATAATGAAATAATTATTATTAATAATTTAATAAATAATTATTAATTAATTATTAAATATAAATTATGTATATGTTCTGACTTTAGTAGCTCTATGATTAAAATTTTATGACTTCATTATGAGGCCATATATTCATCATATTTAATTCGTTAATTAATATTATAAACAATATATATTATATATTAATAAACAAAGCACGAATGTCCACACTCAACCTTCGAGCGCGCACATCGCACAACTGTGGAATGGGCCACGTGTAGATGCGTACCGCCATCGCTGGCCCACTACCTTTGATGTGCGGTGGAAAAACCGACACCGTCGGCATCCCCAATACCATCGCAAGCGCCAGCCATCCGACACAACTACACCATCCACACGCTAGTCCATCGTAGTGGGCCATCGCGATGGCCCATCGTTTAGCTTTTTGCATTTTCATGCATATACGTATTATGTGTCCAGACTTAGGACCTAATGATGAAATGATAGCGAGAAATATTCATTTAAATATTATTATCATACCTGCAAATATATATTTATCTACATAATAAACTTATGTAGTAGTCACATTCATTTAAAGGTTTTTAGGATATATTGTTGCTGTTGTAAGCAGCTCAAAAGAGCGTCCACCCACTCCATTGTGCAATTAAATAAATTTTATAAGGTGCTTAGTTCTGATAACAACAACTTTCAAGCAAAACTGGCTTAATATCAAAATGTAATACCCATAAAGTACTAATACAAATAAAAAATCTAATAACTATTACAGAAATAATCTTGTAAGAAAATTCGAACATGACGGGAACGAGCTTCAACTTTATTAACCTGTTATTATTACGTTAGATGAAACAACATGCGTATGACGTGAACAGCATAGAAAGAACGAGTGACCTCGCTTACGCCGCGCTCTAGAACTAATGATGGCTTACTATACATACATAAACAAAACAATACAATAAAAACAAGTAATGAGTAATATACATCAAATATTATTGCAATAGATAACTACCAAGATAAAACAATTTGTCTATGATAAGGTTACGAACATTCGCCTCTACCGAGGAAGGACCATGCTCTTACAGAATTCTAACGAAAAGAAAAAGATAATAAAGAAGTTTTTTTTTTAAAATAAATTCGAGCACCATGGTTAATCATGTTAACATGCAAAACTCCGATGGTTAGTCAGAATTCCAACAGTTGTAAGGTTTTAACGTGAACATTAGAATTCTTCGCACAATCCATACTTCCGTCCATGAACGCGGGCGTCAATATAGTCTACAGTGGTAAACAAATAACTCGACTCTGTTACAATATTCTACGATTTTGTGCAATATAACATTATTGCACGCCTCGAAGGAAATCTATAATTGGCCAAATATACAAGCGATTTGTAAAGCACTTACATACATGGTAAAAATGAACACTATTTGTTATATTATAATAATTATCATCATCATTACAATCCATCGTTCAGTTAGTTATATTACAAAAAGAAAGTATAGTTTGCTTTATATAAAATTAAAATATAATATAAAGCACATTAAAAATTTCTAAAATACTCGCAATGCTCCCAATGTTTTCATTGTATAGTCTAACTCTTACGTGACTTTTTTTGAAATAAGGGTGATAAACGAGCACACAGTCCACCTGATGGTAAGTGGATACTGTGGCCCATAGATATCAAAATTTTATACCCGATGAATTAAAACGCAGATGCGTTGTCTCCCTTAGGACTAAAATGGAATGGCTCGTTTCCAGTAAAAAATGGTCTCCGGATCTCTACATTCACGAAACTCACGATACGAAACACAGCAGTATTAAGCTGCTATTTTTCAAGTTTTTCGAATTAAATATAGCCTAAATTACTCCGGGAGTTGCTCTTTATCTGTTCGTGAAGTTTAACAATCAGTTCCATTTCAAAGATAAGCCTGTAAATACAGACAGAGAGTCAAAATGGCATCCGAATAACCCCACTCATCTCAATGTCTAGCCATTATTTCCATATTACAGACAGACACTTCAATGTCAGTGGCCAAGCCTCCATAGATGCGAAAAGCCGGGCTTGCCCTATCAAACTGCTCAATCAATAATATCAACTAATAAAATAACTCGTAAACTGTTTCAAACTATTTCAAATTTCCCGCGCGCTGCTCTGTTCTCCTCAGATCATGACCTCGTAGCCTTAGCAATACTGCTGTTATAAAAAAGGATGAGTTGAGCGAGTTGTCTCTCTCGCACGCGTGGGCTTTTTACCGGGCTTTCGAGAAGACGACCGCTCCCTTTCTAACCTGTGGCAAAATGTTCTATAATGAAATATAACTACGAAATATCTATATAGCAATTAGTATGGAGCAAAAAGCTGGGCTTTGGTGTGAAGTTATTGAGTGCGGGGGCGCTCGGGCTATACGTTTGCAAGTTCACTTCACATTTCAATGTTTACTCTGTTTGTTTACTTGCTGAATGTATATTGCGAGTTAAGAAATTATGCTTTTTTAAAGAAAATAGAGGATAATAGTGTTCCTAGTGATGAATTGAAGTGTGTTAAAGTGCTAATCGGCGAGGAAAAGGTGAAATCTTTAAACTTTGTTGAAAAAATACACAAGGTCAAGAGCGTCTTTCAGACTTCTCGATTATCACAATTGAAAAACAGTTATTGGTACAATTAAAACGTTCACCAACATTTTACGCACACGTAATCAAATATTTGCTTAAGAAAGAAAGACGATTCGACTTAGAATATAAATAATTTATATTTTTAATTTTGTACATAGTTTGTACTTTGTTCATGCTTTTCTTTTGTTCATGTGTTGTAGTGTATGTAATTATCTTTTTCTTTCGCTCAAGCAAACCGAAACGATTTTTTCAAAGCCACCAAACCGAAGGTATGCAATTGCTAATATGTCATACAATCTATCTAGTAGTAGTATGCCTTCTATGTGCTAAACACGTCGTCGACAGCACTGAATAAGTAATAAACTGAAGAGTGGAGACAGATCAAGATTGGTGTATTTTATAAAACTGTTAAAACAACAAAACCATATCTTGGGCTTGCCCTAGTTTGGTGCCGTAACTTCGCCACTATTCAATGTAATTCATATGTATAGATAATAATAATCTACTTATACTTTTGTCGAGATTTTTTTAAAATCAATATAAGTTTATCCCTTTTACCGTCGCAGATCATTAATTTTATCTGAAGTTTATTATTTATTCTTTTCATTATTTTTTTATCTCGCAAAAGACCGACTACCTTGGAGCAAGGGGAGAGAGATAAGTTTATGTTATGCGTCGACTCGACCGGGGAAGACCAAGCTCTTACAAAATACCATTGTAAAATTCAGATTATTAATGCTCTTTTTGTTTTTGTGTGTCAAAACAAAGCATTTTTATTTTAATCTTTAATGGTGACCACTCATTTATATTTTGATTCTTAATTGAAGACAAAAAACCAGACCTTTTACAGGACAGCTTAGGCTAATTACGTACGAAATGTGTGGTCCATATGCACCATTTGCAGCTTTTTTGGTGTATACGTGATTACTATGTAGCTTTAATAAGTAAGTTTAAAAGTTAATAGGTACGTTACGTTACTTTTATGCCACACTTCCCCAATGAGTAGGTCCATATCGTTAAATGTGTGCTTACAGCTACAAAAACGTGTAAAGGCAGGATCGAAGCGTAAATAAGACGCCCAGTAACCCACAATATTCGGCACAGTGGTAGTGAATGTTTCGTCTGCAATACGGTCGCGGCATAACACTAGTTTCCTTGTGCAGTGTTTATTTATATTGGCGTTGCGCCAGCATTATCCGCCCATCGCTCGCTGCTCGCATGTCTACGAGCAAACAAGAGCATGGATTCGCCCACGCTCATCGACCAACTCTATCGAAATAATCATAAACGTCGATCGTATCGACGTATCGATCGCGTCGTCTACATTACTCCATATGTTACGTAGAAATTCGTCACCTGGCGTCACAGTGTTAACCTCTGCACAAACGCTGGCCTATTCAATCAGGCCTTATTGTTGTATGAAAAAGGAAACGTTCACAATATTATTTCAAAATGATTAACGTCACTGAACGCGCTCTGTGGACAGGTAGTCTTATTATTTTGTTTTGTTATGATCATAAAGACGGCGCTAGCTTCAATCATTTGAGGAAAAATTGTTTAAATACTAAATTAGTTAGGAAGATATTGTATATGTTAGCGGATTGTTGACGAGTTTAACAAAACTGTTTATTCCTCGCTTTGCAGCATTAAAAGTAAAGCTGACGATGCGGCGTCCGCTCAACCAACTGGTAGCTCAAGGAATAATGCCCCGTAAGTGTTATATTAATTTAAAATCATAGTCATTGTTATATGTTTACAAAATCATTTCTATAAGCAGAACAATTAGTAATTGTTTGTGTGACGAATTTTGGGAGACGCCCGCCGGCAACAGCGCGACGGAACGCGTACGCGTGGGTGAAAGAATTTTACGATCTCAACTCTATGAACTGATGGAATTTTTTCGCTCCATATTGTATTCTCATCATTCTCTTTGCATTAATCGAACAGTAAAGATTTCGCCTATCTATCTCTTGTACATATTGAAATGTATTAATTTAAATAACACACAAAATACTCTTTTTCAGCTCTCAATACACCGGCTGCTTATTTTGAACAATGCAAGCAGTTAGAAAGAGCAAAAACCGGGGATTTACTAAAAGCAAAGATACAACGACGACCAGATCGTCAGGAATTGGAACGGAGGCATATTTTGGAACAAGTAGGTTATCTCCTGTTTATTTAGTCTAGATTTATTTAACTTACTGCTTTTATCATCATCGTTACAGACCATCACAAGTCCACTGCTGAACACATGCCTCCCCAAGAAATGCCACAAAGCTCGGTCTTGTCGCTAGCATCCATCGACTTCCTGCATCTTACCAGGTCGTCACTCCATCTAGTGAGGGGCTGACCTTCATGTCGCCTTACCACATACATACGTGACTGCCACTCGAGAACTATTTTTCTACCATTTATTCTACCATCAGTTGTCAGATCCGTTACTGCACATTTATATGTATACAAAACTAATAATACTTAATCACTCACGCCTGTCACCCAGAGGGGTAGGCAGAGACTACAGACTTCCATTTGGCACGATCCTGACACACCTCTCTCGTCTCCTCCACATCCATACACCTACGCATACATGCTCGTCGGTTAAGGGTACTCCTAATTTGATCCATTTTTAATATATCGCCAATTTGGTCGATAATCTTTCGCCTAGGACGTCCCTTTCCGACTCTGCCGTTCACTTCTGTAACATAAATTTGCTTTTTCACTCTTTTCACATTCATTCTTTCCACATGACCAAACCACCGAATCATTAATTTCTTAATCTTGGTAAAAAAATCACCTTGCAAACCACACTTTTCTTATCACACAATTTCTCACCCTGTCGTTCAGATTCAGCCCTAACACTCTCCTTATCGACCGCATTTCTACGGCCTTTATTCTACTCTCATGGTTCTTCTGCCACACTCAACTTTCACTACCATACGTTAAAGTAGGGACCAACACAGCATTGTGAATTGCCATACGTGCCTTTTTTGACATATTCTGACTTTCCACAATAGAGTGTAGGGCCCCATTTACTCTTGTTTCCTGCGTTCACTCGTCGTTCTATATCCTTATCATATCTTCCATCCTTGCTAAATATGCATCCCAAATATACAAATTCATCTACTTGCTTGATCAAATCCCCTTCTATTCTTATTTCACATATCGTTTTACTTTCCTCTCTTTCAAAAACTATATCGTTTACTTGCGTTCACTTTTATACCCCTTTCTTTGAATGATCTGTTTATTAATGTAACCCTCATTTGCAACTCGGCCGCCGACGACGCAAAAATAACTTGATCATCGGCGTACAAAAGGCATTTGACGGTTACCTCACCCATTCTTAATCCGCATTCTTCAACTTTAAAATTTTTCAAACAACTGTCCATAAATAGGTTGAACAGCCACGGGGAAGCCACACAGCCCTGTCTGACACCTTTATGGATGCCAAATCAGTCAGAGTAGACCCCGTTGATCCTAACATAAGCACTAGAGTCCCTATAGAGACTTTAATGCCTGTATCAACCCAGCGCTCAATCCAAATGAGTTCAGTGCCATAGCATATCCCTGTCCACTCTGTCATAGGCCTTTTCCAAGTCCATGAACGCACAAAAAGCCTTTTGGTTTTTGGCCAAAAACTTCTTCACGATCATGCGCATGGAAAAGACTTGATCCGTACACCTTATTCCCTTTCTAAATCCTGCTTGCACATCCCAAATTTTTCCATCAGTTTCTTTCATGACCTTTTCAATTAGTACCTTAGCATACAGTTTTCCCACAATGCTAAGTAGGCTGATACCACGGTAGTTTTTACAGTCCTGCTGCGACCATTTTCCTTTATATATTGGGACTATCACGGTGTTTGCACCAGTCTACCAGTACCCACTTCGGTTCCCAACATAAATTAAACAAGGTGTACCGCAGGCCTGCCACCACTTCCTCTCCAGCCCTTAGTCTTTCGAGTGAAACTCTATCATATCAAATAGATACCTGCTTTCACGCTTTTCATTGCTTTCATTATTTCATTTAGTTCATAAGTCGTCTCCTCACTCATAAACACGCTTTCAAAATATTCCTTCCATTTCTTTAAACTCAAAATTTCATCATTTAGAATATAGCCGTTCTCGTCTCTTATAAATTTCATTATAGGCTGTTTTGAATGTCCCCATGCAGTTCTTACGAGTTTCCAGAATATTTTAATATTTGCCTGGAAGTTATCCGATATTCTTCTATCACGGATAAGAATCCGTTCTTTTCTGCTTTTTCCTTTCAACTACTTTCACTCTCTTATTTATATGTATAAAGACTGCCTTTTTCTTTTAATATCATCCATCATTCGTACCGCCAGGATTACCAACCTTTGTTGCTAGTAAATCTAGCCATGCTCTCTTCTTTGTTTCAACTTCCATACGCACCGCAGCATCCTACCATAACGTATTATTTTTTCTTTCATTCGTTCTCTTACTAACACCACATACTTCGGTAGCTGCATCCACTAAACCTTTCTTAACATTTTGCAAATAATATTAAAAAATAAATCACCCAAACCACTTATATTTAAAACTACATTATTCATTATCTTTTAGGAAAGTCATGTGGATCCAAGCTTGGCGGAAAAGCAGCGAATGTTAAAGAAAGCTCGATTGGCCGATCAGCTAAATGACCAATTATCTCATAGGCCCGGACCTCTCGAGCTATAAAGAAGAATATTTTACATACCGAAGAAAACATAGAAACAGCTGTAAAAAGTGGGACATTAGCTTTTAAAGCAACGAGTGAAGGTGCCTCGGGGCGCCCTCAGCATCCTTCATCATATTGCGGGCCTCCCGATGAGGTTTCACCTTCCCCGTCGCCACCATCAACGCTATCGCCCGCCAGCGTCGCATCCCCACCACAGCATCCCGCACCGGGAAAGGACAAAAATCGTAAAAAGAGTAAACAGAAACAGCAGCAGAAGTCAAGATTGAAATTTCACGAGTACAAGGGACCGCCGAATGCTCAAAAGGCCTCGTCGCCGCCTGGCTCTGTGGAGACGCCGTATGAGTTGCTCCTGCAGCAACAGCAGCTACTGTTGCAGCTCAGTTGTCCCTTACTGCTGCCAGCTTCGCCAGCGCCCTCGTCCGTCGCGTCGGACTCGTCGGACGCGTTCCCCACCCCGCCGCCGCCCCCACGCTACCCACACCTCTCCCCTCCGGCCGCTTCGAGGACATGAAGGTATCCGACCTCCGGGCCGAATGCAAGCGCCGCAACTTACGAGTGTCCGGCCCGAAGCCGCAGCTGATCGACCGTCTGCGACCCTATCTGACAGAGATGCTAGAGGAGGCGCCGAAATCGCCAGCATCAGTTGCGTCCCCTGAAACGAGGGACTCGGAGCCGCCGGAGGATATAGTCCAGTCGCAAAGGCGACAAATAGAGGAGTTAGAACGGAAACTGGAAGCATCCCGACAGCAGTTGGAGGCGGTGAGGCGGGAAGCGGCGGGAGCGGCCGCTAGTGACCAAAGCCGGCGGCTGCTACAAGCGCATCTCTGTGTGACACAACTTCGCGCACAACTTGATGCTTTAAAACCGCCCCCGCGATATCTCCTCGCGGACGCACCCCCCGACCGCCTCGTCCGCCTCTTCACTGTAACCCCTCCCGCCGCAACACCCGAAACGACCGTCGACTCCCAACACAAAACCAACCCCGCTTACATACTCAACGGCGTTAAAGTCGTCCCGATAGCTATCCTACCCACGCACTATGAACCGGAGCGCACGGCCCCTCCCCCTCCCCCTCCGCCGCCACCCATGCCGCAGACTCCCTTATTACACGACAGCGAAGACAGCCGAATCATGGACGATGTTTTGGAGATTCTCGTGGAAAACGGCGAGTTGCCCCCGTCTGCGGTCGAAGACGTCGCAGTCGATCGCCCGATCGATCCCGGCTACTTAACGACCGGATCGAACGATTTCTCGCCTGCCGACGTCTTAAATGACGACGTTCTGGGTGATACACACGTACGCGACTCACTCGCCGCCGACGAATTGCAACGGGAGCTGAATGATATACAAAATGAAATCATGAACCACGCCGACATGCATGCGGTGAGCAAACCGAGCCAATGTGACATAGACCCGACCGCGGCCGTCATCGACCCCGATTTGAGTGTCGATCTGCTAGCGAACAACGATTTCCACTCAAGCTTCACGACGGACCAAACTTCCGATAACAACGATGACTTCTTTGGGAGGCTGCTTTCGGGTGAGTGCGATGAGAAGCCGCAAATGGCAATGGACATCGTCGACGACGCGCCAGAACGTATGAGCATGACGCCGCTCACCAATGGCGATATACTGGACCACAACCGCACCGGCTTCGAGGATATGGACGACCTGTCGCTGCCGTCTTTCCAGAACGAGGACTCGAGGCATGGCGCTTACGACGATCGGCCCTGCGAATTCGACCTGAAAGACTTCGAGAGCCTCGGCACCCATATGAACATGGACAGCGACGGCTACGACATGGACACGGAGCTGATCCCGAACCTGTTCGGGCGCGGGCACGTGCCGCAGTGCGACCCGCTGCTGGGCGGGGTTCTGGCGCGGCCGCCGCCGCGGCCCGCCACCAAGCACTACTCGTGGGAGCGCATCGAGTTCGACGCCACCTGACACGCACACGCGCACACGCACGCACACTCGCACACACGCACGCACCGCACGCGCCGCCCCGTCGCTCTCTAACCTACCCTGTGATCTCTTAAACGGCGCTGTTGCGACCTAAACGTAACACTAACTTAGGCTATAACAACGTAATTTAAATATTCATAAGGTGCAATACTTAAGTACCGAGATTCAAAGTGTAAAAGTGCTACAGAGTAGCATGTGGGGGCAACGTACGCTAGTCGATTTAGTGACTTGATCTTCCACGATGGTGACTTACTTAGTAAAGACTAATTGTAATCATTAGTAATGTTGTGAAACACATAGTGTTGATGTTTGTGAAGGACCGTGTGACTATTTATAAATTGTATTAGTAACTAGTACTTAATAATTGATACGAAATGTTTGTATCGCTAGTTGTTTCGATAGTTTACTGATTTGTGTTAACTTTATTGTGTTGAGCGTTCGTTTATCACCGCGTGCGCAGTGGCATACTAAGCTCATATTAATAATTAATTCATTTTATATTACTGTGGCATATCTTACTTATACATATATTATACATATTTATATAAGAAACGAATCATAATAATATAAAACTCAACATAGTTGTGGATTTCTGCATTCCGCCCGATGACTAAATTTTTTAGGGAAAATGTGTTGTTTTTCAGCAAAATTAAATGCTTGAAACACCCAATCGTGTACATTCTGCATAGTGATTGAAATTTACTACGACCTACAAAAATAACCAATGTGAAGTAAAAGTTTTAAGTGTTGCTTGCTGAAATCCTCCTAGTTTCGTTTCTAATTCATAATAACCATTTCCCAAATCAATAAGTGACATTCCAATGTTTTCGATGTGCAATATAAAGCACGGAAACATGCTTGTATCTCTCTTTAAATTAATTATAAAAATCAATGGATTAGAAATAATTTGCTTTTTTTGTTGACCTGAGGAATCAGTGTTTAAAAGTAAAACACTACCTACCTGTTTAATATACAAAGAGAGTAAGTTGCATATACAAGCCATCGTCATGGGTGGGACCAGCTCGGGAACAATGTTAGATATGAATTCATTTAGTTAAAGTAGGAAGCCAACTCCGCGCGCACAAACAATTATGCAACCATTCTTCTGCTTTCGCTTTCATTCTTACACCAATGTTCTTTTCCATTTAATTTAAGCCTTGATTCCTTTATAGAGCACGGTGTTAATGTGGTGTAGTATAAATATGCTTCTCCAAGGAATACTTATTAATTTGTTGATTGTTTATGTTATCTAAAATATTATATTGTATGAACATAACATTCTTGAAAAAGTATCATTCCAGTTTATTGTCTGAAGTTTAGAATAGGTGCACGATGTCAATATCACACCAAATAATGGGTGCTTGCATAATTGTTTGAACACTATTTATTATATATATTATCTACCACTTTATGTATGTACCTTAGTAGATTTTCCAAATAAATTATTTAGTTTTGAGACCTTTTGCGAGTATCCCTGTAGCGTCACGTGTCATCTTGCGCGTATCTTACAGTAAATGATTACGAAACAGCAAAATTCGTGAATCATAAAATATTGCCATTATTTGCATTTACTTAATTTACATAATTAATTGTTTAGTTAAAAGTTTATCCTTACAACGAAATACGGCTTTAAAGCCTCAAGCGTGCCAACCATTTAATATTTGCACTCAGTCACTGTCATTATGTCTTAGATTATTGAATTCTCCATAAGTAATTACAATAATTTATTATATATTTTGCTAAGGATTCAGTTTCCTACGCTGTTAAGGATGATCTGTGATTGTACTTCAAAAATAGATAACCTAGCAGTGTAGTTTTAAAGTACACTCACATATTATGGGATGGTGCTATATAAATGTGGAGGACTGTATTAAATTATATTGGAATACTTGCATGACAATATTTAACATATATATATATATATATATATACAAACAATTTTGTTTGTAAATACTGTATTAAATTAGTGTATTGATAAAAATGCCTCAAGATTTATAAATAATGTAACTTCAATAATTTCCTTTTGTATTATTTTTTCATCGTTCTTTAAATTATAAATTTTGGTAGAAATTACCGTCAAACATTTTTATATATAGGTGTCTTGTTATATCTAATAAATCTTAACAGCCTGAAATATGGAAAAATAACTAATACACTAAACATTTTGTTATTGATTTTTTGCTTACTAAACTTAAGTCGTATTCCATTATCTAAGTAAAATTTTAACGATGTCTAGTATAAATATAAAAGTTCTATTTGCTCATCCAATTTGTACCTATCCATTTAAGCCAAATTATTTAACAACTGCTAGGGAATAGTAAAATATTTCATGTGGGTTAAGTCTTGTGACTTCTCCCTCAAATCTGGCCTAGTGTGTGTTTATAGCTACATATTCCCTTTTATGGGGTGTTTTAGTTTAAATATTTAAAAAAAATGTGAAGTGAGATTAATATTTTGATAAAAGTAAACTATCTGCGTATTTGTTATTGTTGTAATCGTAATAGGAGAGTTTTAATATTTGTTTTTACATAGATTGTTCCCAAGTGATAAATTGTGCTGAATTTAATCAGTTTAGCTTGATAATATATTTATATTAGTTTATCAATAACTGGCTTCGTTATATTGATTGCATTAGTCATAAATACACTTAAATATTTATTTATTATTTATTAAATATAAGCAATATGTTTACATACCCTGAGCGTGAGCCAAGTACTCGTGAATAATATGTGATATCGCAAGAGTCGGATCTTTAGTGTGTATGGATAGTTTTTTTACCTTGCCGTATAATGAAGCCTTGTAAATATTTACCAAGCCTTTATTAGCTTAAGAAAAGATTGTTGAATAAAAAATATATATATAAATATTGTTTTATTTATAACAAACTTATATGTGGTAACCTATACGTGGTGAAAACTATACGTCATAGAGCCATGCTGCAGTTATATTAGTAGTATAGTTGAAGCACGAATGCGTCGGCTCGACCGGACCACGCTCTCACAGAATACCAGCGTCAAATAGTAGCTTAATGCTGCTGTGTGGTATGGTGAGTGGAGAGAACCGGAGACCCTTTTTACTGCAAGCGAGGCATTCCATCTGAGTCCTCACGGGTGACAAAGCATTTGCATTTTGATTCGTTATCGAGGATAGATGTAGATGTCTATGGGCCACAGCAACCACTTACCATCAGGAGGACTGTGTGCTCGTTTGTCACCCTAACCTGTAAAAAATATAACTGCGCCCGCGTTTTCTTTCATACGAATTATAATTCACGAAAGTAACGGTGAATTCTTCAATTCCGTCCTTTATAGTGCCACTACCCCATAGGCGTGGAGCAGAGGTCCGGTGGTCATGTTCTTGAAGAAAGATGACTAATAATGAAGAATCCAAGAAGCTCTCTAATAATAATTCATTTATTGCATTACTGTGTACAAGTTAAAGATGACATAATATTAAAGGTATCAACAGTTGCCTCATCAGGCGTGCAATAGATTTACTATTTTCATTTTAAACATATACTATTTACATTTTTGCTATTTATTTTAACAGATGATAGATTTACAATTAACTTCTAAGATAAAATATTTCAAAAAAATGCTTAGAAACACGGTATTAACTCTTAAAATTATAGAATTCATTTAGCATCTAGAGGAAGTACAGACCGATTGCCTTTCTTAACCGCGTCTACATGCTGTAATCGAGAGTCATTACTAGTCTCGCACGCAGACTCGACGAACTCCAACCTCCTAAACAAACTGGTTCGAAAAGCTTTTAGTACCATATACCACATGCATACCCTTCGGCAAATTATACATTAGACCGAAGAGTACAATCTACCACTTTACCTTGCGTGTATGGACTATGAGAAAGCCCATAGAGTACTTTTTGAGAAAGCCTTTGATCGATTATGTTTTGCTTGCTCGACCTCTTCTTTCCCAGCCTCAACCATACAATGATCCGCCGCCATTTGTTCCCTCCATTGGCAAAATTACTTCATTTAACCACAGCGGCGGCGGGATGTTCTTGCCTATGGAGTATAGGTATGTAATAGTACATTATTAAGCTGGATATATCTAGTATTAATGGATATTATTTCTTCTGTAACTTCCTGCTTTCTTTCTCACAGATTGTATAGTTCGGCGTATGGATAACCGCAAAGTGTCTAGCGGTATTGCTGAACTTAGCGAAGGAGTCCATCGCTGTCTGTCTCACTATTAATAAATAAATTTGAGGGGCTTAGTGTTAGAAATTTACAGCTAGATCTGTTTTAAAATTATCTTACAGGTAGAACACAGCGCGTTCAAATAGGAGAGCATACCAGCGATGAAGAAACAATAACATATGGAATACCCCAAGGCAGTATACTGGGTCCGACTTTATTCTTGGTTTACATCAATAATCTGTGTTAAATGAGGGTATCTAGCGGGAGCATTCTGTCCTTCGAGGATTATACAGCTTTGGTTTTCAGCGTCGATAGTTGGAAAGATACGTTTGCTTATGCACAATCTGGATTACATGAATTCTTATATTTACGGATCAATGTTCTATGCATGTATTTTTCTTACAAGTCTTGAAAGTTGGAACTTTTAAAGGTTTGGAAGTTTTTTGTAAACGCGATTGTGCTCTTTATTTGTATACGGTTACAGATCAATATTCTGTGCAAGTATTTTTCTTCAATCAAAACTTGAAAGTTTACTATTTTAGCATATGCGATTGCTATCATATTGCTTCATATGTTCTTACGGATCAATTTTCAATGCAGAAAGATAATACTTAAAAGTATCTCGAGCCCTGATATTTGGCGCTGGTATCCGAAGGTGGACATACTTGCAAGCACTGATACTCAATTTTACATGTATGACAGAATGACCCATCTTTACTGGCCAGTATACTTTTTTGTCTTTTAACTTTTGCCTTAGCTAATTTCTCTAAAATTTTACGTTTTTTTTATTTGCTAAAAAAAGGTTGGTTTATTACTCATT